TTACCCATTTTTTTTTTCCTTAACCTGGATTCTTTCTTTCTAAAAACGAAGCTTGTGAAACCTGTGTTCTCAGGGAGTATAATCACCAAGCATCCATGCCTAACTTCTATAGAAGTTACGCAGATAAATAATGAGACATACATCCCAAAGCTGCTAGCTGCTCTCTTTTTAGGTAACCAAAACAGGCAGACTTCTAAAATGTATTGATACACCATAAAGAATCTTCAAAGTAAAATTCATCTTGAAATTATAGATTATATTTTATACTTACAACCCTTGAACTCTATAGAGCTTAACAGGAGTATTTTATTAAGTTTTAACAGATGTGCATTTTGTCAACCCTGGTGCCTGGAGAGCACAGATTGTTGGGTTTATTTGTATTTATGAATACCGCTGACCTGAATCATCTTATAATCAGTGTTTTTTCGCATATACATTCGTCTGCTGAATCAGGGTGTAAACAATGAGAGATACAAACTTTTCCTTGATTCCATTTGTATTTAGTACTGTAAGAAGAAAATACTAGGTAATCAAAACTCTTATCTAGGTTCAGTAGGTGCTTTTGACTTGTTTCCTGGCGTGACAAGCAGATTTACATATACCGTAGATCAGCCGTGGTATTTCAGGTGCTCTTATTCATAAACAAAAGAACAATTCTTTAGAGGATTGCAATGTCATATTTGATGCATTTTACTGTGTAATTAGCTTTCATTTTAAATTTATATACTTACAGAATGTAAGATGATTCTGATTTCTAGTTAGAATTTTTTTTAAAAAAAACCCAGTCAACACCAACATTTTCGCTACTGGATGGATTACATAGCCATAGCATTTCAAAAAACCTTATCCAAGTTGTTTCTTAAGGTATACATGGAAAAATATTAGAATATCCTAAGACAGCTACTGTCAGTCATTCATGAAAATGTAAATTATCAAACAAAATGGTGCTATCGCTATAAACCTTGAAGTATTAACTAAGACTACTAAAAATATAATGTATACATCAATTCCTTTCCAATTTTTACTCTGTTTCTTATAATGTTGCTTCAATATTCCCCTCGCTCTTCATGCTGAGGTAACTGGTGATGTAATTCCCAGCAGACCTGTTTTGTGGCTCATTTCCTCACTAGAAAAATGAGACCAGAAGGAATAAGATTATTATTCCACATATGTGAAAATAAAAGCTGTATTAATAAACTGTGCTTTTACACCTCATTCCCTGTGATGGGAATTCCAGATGCATAAACTATAAAAGCAGGAAGAGGTGTCGGGGTGAAACACACTGCTCGATTCTTGATTCATACCTACTGGCTGTAAAAACTTGCTTCCAGCCCTGTGGCAAAAGGCAGTTCTGGGTGGTAAAACCAAATTGGATAAATGGGGATTTCATCCTGGCTGGATTGATAAACCTTATAAACAAAAGACACCATAGCCTTGCTTTCTTCTTATGAGAGAAAGAACACAATCCAGAAGGGTGCCAAATGCTTCCACAATAAACTTGCGGCATTATGCCTATTGTATATAACATATCTGTAATATCACCTATAAAACAGCTGTGGATTGATTTGCTTGTATAAATTACTAACCTACTTGTCATCCTTTTTTCCCTGGCCATATTCTCCTTTAGAAACACGTAGGTGAACATTTAATCATGTACCTGCTCCGACATTTCTGATGCACTGCCCTTGCTTCTTTACAGAATGACATCTCGCTTTGTAGCTAAATGATACAGCGAAATGATACTGGGATGAAGAAAGCTAAGTTGAATAATTCTGTGTCTAGGCAATAGAACAAACATTTCATTACGTCTTCAAAAACAAGTCATAGCATTTGCATTAGTCATCACAAAACCCCCCTGTTATTAGACATTTTAAGATGCATTGCACAGAATATGAGTTTATCTAGAGGGGCATTTAAAAGAAAGATAACCTCCCTACTTAGTCTAATTTTACTTGCATTCTCATTTGAATGAAGCTGAATAATTTCTTCTTTATATCAATAAACAGATGGATCAGCAAGACACACTTTTAATGCATGGACCAAACTGCCTGCTTGCATACCTCATTGCTTACAGTGCTTTTAAACAAGAGAAAAAGTTTCCCTATATAGAGAGAGATATATATCTCAAAAGTCAGACTTCTTAGTGTTGTTTCGGGTACAGACTGTAGCCAAGTGAATTGCTTTCCTTTATATTTGGGGAGGAGGGGGTTTATTAAGAATCAACCCGACTCTACACAAGTTAAAAGTTTATGAAAATGATGGTATATTAAAAAATTATTTGAGTGTGGCTAAAAACCCCAGCAAATTAAGCAAAGGCTACGTTATGTGAACTACAAAGCATTTAAAAGCTATAGACACCTTTCCATAGGCTGTATCATGTGAACAATCTCATAAGGATTCGTGTGTATTTATAAAATTTTTGAAGTACAACAAAACGGTGCTTTGTTGAAGTAGTTCATATCTACTTAAAACTGGATTTCTAAAACTGTGCAGGTGTGACTGATTTCACCAAATAGAACTGTAGCTGAAATACAGATAAAAAAAAAAAAAAAGAAAGAGATAATGACTATGTGCAGTGTTAACATATGAAATGGTAAGACGAGGTTGGATTGCTGAACAGTCTCTCAGAGATTTAGATAAAACCCAGAAGAAGAAGAAAATACAAAGCAAGCATGCAAAAGATCTGGAGTGCTGCAGCTTCACAGGCAGCTGGACGTGTAAGTACAAAACCCCCCAATCTGTAAATACAAATGGATTCCATCAGGCTTACTGTACAGTACTTTAGTAGTAACAGACAGTTGAAAACAGCTTTCACTTAACAGCAAAATTAATTTTAGAGGGAAGAAAATGGTGAAGTCTCATCCTGGAGTACAGCAAGAGAGGTATTACATTAAGGAGCTAAACTTTTCTTTGGCATGGTAAAAGGGGAGAACTGAGTTTGCCAACCTATTTACATGAAGTTTCACCATCCTGTGGCCAGTGCAACAATGTTTTGCACAGTCTACTTCTTACATAAACTTTTTTTTGTGTTTTTCGGTATGCCTTGGTATAAATGTTTTATTCATCAAGTTGACTCTCTGTATACAACAAATAAGAATAAACACAAACTGTACAATGCAGACAAACTCTTTGCATATATGTATGTAAATTTAGTAATACAGACCAACAGTTCTTTGCTAGACACAACATACTACATGCAGTTCATCCTTGCCATCCTCTTCCCATGCAACAGGTGAGACGAGACAAAATTAAAGGGAGGAAACAAAGCGCGAAGACCCCTTTGCCATGTTTAAACAGATTGTAGAAAAAATATTTTTTAGGACATGTATTCATTGGATTAAACACACATATGGATTTAGCCCATAGAAACAAAAGCAGAAAATAATTCTAAAAAAATTGCTGTATTTCCAGTATGTACTAACTGCTTACAAAAATTAAATCTGGCCCTAATTATAGCCCCTCAAACTGGTTCGCAGATCGTAATTACGCAGGATCAAAAGTTTAATGTTGAAAACAATACTTATGTAGCATCGGTCGTGAACCAGAACCTCCTTGCGCGGCTCAGCCACGTCTCCAGCCCTGTCTCTCCCCAGGCCCTTACACTGGAAGAGTAAAGAGACAGCTGGATGGGACACGAACACGTATATTCCCTCTTCATGAACTCTTAGGAAATTCAAGTGAGAGAGAAAAAGAATGTAGCCTTCAGCTGCATTACCTTCCTCAAAATATTGTGAAATGCTCCTCATAATTGTGGGAAAGCCTGGGGCCTCCTCTGGGACCCAGCAGACAGTACAACAGCAAGGCTGCTGCCTCCCCGGGGTCCTCCAGATGCAGAGCCAGCCCCCAGCTCACCAGGTGAGTTGCTTTGGTTTTGTGTTTTTGTTTTTTTTTTTTTCTTTTTTTTTCTCAGAGATGGTGCACAAATCCCACCGGACCAGCTGGGATACGAAAGGTGCACTGAAGTTTTTAATGAAGTGTCGTTTACCCCACGCACGCATATTTAGTGCTAGCAGGCAAGGGCACAGTCGAAGTCAAAGTTCCTTTGCATTTTTATCACAGTATTAGAGTAGGTTTGTTGGTTTGGGTTTTTTTCTACGTGGATAGTGGGCTTCATGCTTAACTCATTCCCTCCCTAGAAAGACCCAACAAGAAGTGTTAGCTTGCTGTTCTCATGGTTACACATATATAAACAAAGGAAGTCTGGCCTGCAGGGGGGGTGGAAAAAAAAGAAGTTTATCTAGAACTTAGCAGCTTTACAGTATCCTCCCTGAAGAGTGCACTAAATGTTGCTTAGAAAACCAGAACACATTTGAAACCTGGCACGAAGACTTCCTTCAGACTGAATCGGTTGTTCAGCTGAGCAGATAGGGAGTTTGAAATAACCAGCGGTCTGGGTTAGGGACTTCAGCACAAAGATGTGATAAAACAAATTGCCAGAAAGACAATGCTAAAAAAGGAATGGATGATTTCCTTTTTTTTGTGTGTCTTTAAATATCAAGGTAACAGCAAGAGGCCAAGAGAGCGTTGCCACACGGTTTTCCAGACTGAGGTACAGTTTGGTCCTTGTTGCCCTTTCTGAGAAACAAATACCTTCTTACGCATACAGAGAGAACTCATATATTTTTAGTCTTCTGAAAGCCCGTGACTAAGTGTGCAACGCTTCAGTGGCGTCTCGGTGGCATTCTCTAAACCTCCCTCCCAGCCCCCAACACTGGTGTAATTGTTCACAAGTGACAAACTCAAAGGCTTGATGTTGTTTCTGGTAATGTGGTCCAAGGCTTCAATTTTATAATGGGTTTGATTTCTTCTAGGTTCATGTAGGAGAAAGTACAGTATACAGAGATCAAGGGAAGGCACCTTCAATCTAGCAATTTGGTGGGCACATTATCCTAGGAGGCTGGGTGGGAGGTACGTACTGGGATATCAGTGAGATACATAGGACCGGACTTTGCATGCTTAGCTAAAAATAAAAATAAAGTTTTGTAATATGTCCAGTTTTAAAACTTTTTTTTTTTTTAAAACACCAGAAATATTAAACTATAATTTGTAACTATCCTTTGCATTGGTGCTGCAAAAAAGAACACAACAACATCCTTGCCCATGCTTTGCTAAGTAGGTGTGGGATTCAGCCAAAAATAACAATGGCATTAAGTTCAGTTCCTTAAAAACAGGAAAGGATTATATTTGAAATGGATTTAGGTAGCGCAATTCTGGTTAGTCTTATTTACTGTTTTTTTATTAGTGGTGGTTGTTTTTCAAACAATGGAGATTTAGTAGATGAAAAATGAGCCTTAATTCAGGCCTACAAGGCCTACAAAATTCTTTGGACCCACTTTCCCAAAAATGAGTGGGTCTTGCTCGCTGGGCAAGGCAAATGTTACCATTACCAGTAAGCCTGTGATATGTATAAAACACACACACAAAAAGAAACTATAGGGGGATGCCAAACACTCCTTTCAGAAAACTTCCTCTCGGTTGTGTTTGACACTCTTCCCTCCACTCTAACGCCAACCTCAGAAGCACAGTATCTGTTACTGAAGAGTAGTCACATTTAATCAATATTGTAAGCCAGAGACAACAATCCTATTCTTTATAGATATAATTTGTAATAATAGATTTTTGAAGGCTTCCTGATTCCCTGATTGCTTTCAGAACTAAGCCACCGGCAACACTTAAGTTATAGAGAAACACAATCCCTGCAAAAGGTCACAGACAGTGGAGCGAGCAGCCTTATAAAAAAGGGAAGAAGAGAAATCCATAATAGCACAGGTTTACAGCATCTAACTAGAAATTACTGGATTATTTGTGTGCTACAAAATAGAACTTAAACACATGGGTTTTGCTGAAACTGGACTCAAAAAGGGATTATGGGCAATTGTCAGCAGGCAAGGTATCAAGTGTACTTGTGAAGTATGTCATTCACATGAAGTGTCACAGTCACAGAAAAGAGATTAAAAAGGCATTCCAATATCTGGTAGGGCATTCCATGGTCTGAGTTTAGCTGGTTCATCCAGGTGTCTTCTCGTTGTGGGTGGAGCTACATGTTGAGATTCATCCGCTCGCAACAACTCTGTTCAGAAACAGCAACGGGCAAGTCTGCGACTTGCCACAAGATGATCCACAGACACTGCCGAGGGGAAGTCCGGCAAGGATAAATCGCTCAACTGTACTCGGGACTCAGTAAGTCACAACACCTGTGAGGATCTGGCTATGTCGTCTTACTCTTGTTAACTGGTTTGCCGCCATTCATTATTGCAGACGCACTTGTGCTTTTACTTGGAGTTACCCCAGCCTTTGGCACTGTTTCTCCAATATCATGCAAAGACGGTTCTCGATACATGGCAACTGAGGGGAGAAAAGAGAAAAGGGGAGACAGTTTTAAGAATGTATCTCATTTCAGAGCGCATCTCAAGTAGGATTAATTTTCTGCAATAACTGATCTTGTAACATAATCCATGTTCCTCTCGCGTGCGAGGGAAACCATTTACTTTGACAGACACTTGTTTTGCGTGGCTGATAGCTTTGCTCGACCCTCCAAATTTCTCACTTCTTCCATATCTGACTTAAAAACACAGTAGGAAACTGTATGCTTGTTTGTTTAACGGAAACTATAGAAGCCTTGGAAATGAAAAACTACTGTTCTGTCTTTCTATGAGGTAGACATACAAAAATGTACATTTATGTACACACATATGCATATATATATATACACATCCGTTAAATATTCTGCAAGCTTTTAGAAGTAAAATATGATGAGATAAGGCAGATGGTGTTTAACAAATGGGATCGTACGATACAGTTGTCTAGACTTAAGTGTTCTTTTTCAGTCCTACGTTGCAAGACTAGGCTTGGGTCCAGTTCTACAAAGTTATTTGTACATCTGTCTCTCAAATCTGAGGAGCCTGGCCGTGATCTCTTCAGGCTTGCACTGAAGAAACAACCAGGACGGTGCTGCAGAGCATACACAAGAGGTTTGGGTTTTTTTCTTCCTCCTTTCCAAAAACGTATGCGGTAGCCACGGATCTCCGCTGAACGCAGAAGTGCAGAAAACTCCAAATTAAACTATTAACTGAATTCTTAGAGGAATTAAAAGTTTGCCCCTGGGCTCCAGTCCCTATCTAACCACTTTAAATCCTTCCAGGAAAATACTTGTGTTCAATTACACAGTGCCAGCATTAAGCTGCCTTAATGATTAATGCTCTTGGATAATTCAATTTCATTTTCCATGTCACTGAATCAGGTAATATTTCCACTTATATGTAACTTCAGTAGCATTTCTTTATATCAGAACAATGTTAAAAGAGGTGTCAGAGGAATTAATCACCACACCATGGTTTTGGGACTGGCTGTGTGCTGTCATAGAGAGCACAATCCCTTCATCCCTTGGCTAATTAGAGGAGGAGGCTGCAGCGTCAAAGTACTGACCTTCATCTTCAATGGTGTGAAGTTTCATAACAAATGTGAAGGGCCCCATAGCATCATTAACTAATCAAATACTTGTTCTAACATTTCCAATGACACAATCTAATTCCTTTTATGGCTTCTGAAAGTCTGAAATTAAACGTCTTCTCTAGAGTACATAAGGCTGGTTATGACTTCTGTCTTCAGAGTGCCCCCGTAACTGTGTTGAGGACACTTTGCTGATTAATTAAAAAAGAGCTTGATGAAATAACGCCGTGACCTACAAAAATACTAAGTCGAATAACATGAGATGGAACTATAAAGTAAGGAATTATATAGCGGAGCTGTCATATTTGATGACTGTCATGAGCAACGTAAAGCAAGCTATTTCTAAGCCTCGTCTAAGCTATTTTGATAGAGTCTGACCATCCAAACATTAATGAAAAAAGTAACTTCTTTCCTAATCCATATGAATTGACATTGCTTTTAAAAAATGCACTGGCTTTCCCTCCCTGCAATTCTTATAATTTAATATAACGGGATTGACAATGTCAAAATGTCAATATTGTTGAGGGCTCACGAAAATACCATAAGCTTTTGCAAGATGAGGAAAGCACAAAGGCATCAACCCGAGTTCAAATATGAAGTTAAAACATAGGATTATTCATATTCTTTCCTTATGATGAAACTCTAGAACATTTAACAAACTGATCCTTTAATCCAAAATTTTAAGCTAAAAATGTTAAAAAAAAATGGGACTGCTAACTAAAGCATTACTCAGGTATGTGTTTTCAGATGTTAAAAGTGGTAAGACAATTTCCAGAATGACTGAGGCTATGTGTAGGAATAATATCAATGAAATTTGGAGTGCCATCAGGACAAGAAGCAAAAAGCAGCATAGGTTTATAAAGGCCTGCAGAATACATAGGAGAACCCAAAAGCTCCAAGATATAAATGAATCTATTTTTCAGAGAGTGTGTGACATCATTTTAGTGTGTAAGGTTAGTATGACTTTTACTTGCTTCTGTCTTGGTTTAAAGGCCAACTTACACAAGTTATGTGCATTACATCAACTGGCTAAGTAATACAATATGATTTATTTTATAAAGAGACCTTTGTGTTTTGTATTAGAAAGCTTTTGCTTTGACGTGCTGACATTTCATCCATTCCCTTTATAACTCCCAATTATCCTACAATATCCATTACTTCATTCTGCTTAATGAAAAGACTATTTTCTCACTGTGAGACACACAACAGCTTTTGTCTCTACCGAGAGGAGATTTTAAAAACAGCACAACCCAATTCCACAAAAGATTTCTTTTCTTGCAAAATGACCTCTTAATCCCTGGAAAAAAGGGTTTTAAGTATGCCCTTTCTAGCATCACTATGCCGAAGCACAAAACAGCTCCATTAATCCTGGGGATTGTCATTTGGAATGGCCCATGTGTGGGACATGTGCATACAGAAAAGGTATTTTAGAAACCCTTCCTCCTTCTTCTTGTGAGATTTATAGAAGGATCTGCCAGTGATGGACTGAGCCTCACCTTCCAATGGCTTGGGTAGAAAATGAGCTGCTGGTTTTGTTTTCTTCACTCTGTTTCCTTTCATGACCTGCCCTTCTTTGTTCAGCCCCAAGAACCAGGCCCTCCCGGACTCCTGTTGTCTGTAGAGCATGGATGAGTAGATTACGTAGTAATTTTCAAAAACAGACTCCTTGAATTTGCACTCTGGTGTAAAAAGTTCCTACGGGAGGAAAAAGGAAATGTTAAACGATATCTCTAAAGCGCGGCTTCTTTTCTGTTAGCTTACAAATATCTCTTGATAAGTTTAATATACAACTTATAATAAGGTTCTGCTTTGAGACCAGGAGACCCATCTTCCCCTAGAAGACCTCCAGATGAAGTTATTTCACCTCCCGTAGCTGCCTCTGTTTTCCCATCTGTGCAACAGGGACAGGGTATTTTCAAAGCAGAGCGGAAGTGACACAAGCATAAAAACACTATTTAAAATACAGGCATAATTATTATTGTGCTTATTTTTCTGATAGGATATCCTTGTAAAGATTAAGAAAGCCTATGCTGAAATAGCATTAATGAGAAAACAGCTGTTCCATTTTAACATGCTGAATGCAACAAACCCCCTCTATGATTTATAACAACTAATATTTTAAAATTTATAACAACTAATACTTTAAAAATGCTGCTACCAACATATTAAAATAGATATCATTTCCTAGAGTCCGCCTGGCCTGAAACACCACAGGAAAACATTATTTTGATGTACAAATTTCTGTACAAAGAAAAATAATTCCTACTGACATCCTCAGCATTCAGCCCAAAACTGGAATGCTTTTCAGAAGTCACATTCAGTAATGGAGCAGTTGTCCTGAACTCTTCACTAAGGTTAAACTAAGCACAAACTTCTGTAGTCAAATAATAATTTAAATATATATTTTTAAATAACACAAGTAACAGCAACAAAATAAATGGTGTGAATATATACTGAGGCAGAGTTTCCCAAAATCCTTTGAAAAAAAACCAGCAAGTCAATAAGCAAATAAAATTGCATTTAAAATATCACACAAAAATAGGATTCTGTGTGAATGTGATTTCTGTGTTTGGATCCATCTGCTGAAACTTGTGGAAGATATAAGACATAAAAGGAGGAGGTAGATGTGGAAAAGTGGAAGGTAGCTTGCTAAGCTTTCAGAGCACAAAGTTCTTAACCCTGAATCCTCTTTTTTGCATTTCTTTCAGCTAGCTTTCCCAAGAAGTAAAAATCTGGAAATGTCACATATTTTCACTTCTCCATTCACAGTATTTTTCTTCTGCCCCGCCCCCCCCCACCCCTTTTTCCCCTCCCCATTTCTTTTTGCTCCTGGTCCCATGCAATACTGAGTCAACGCTCAGCAGGTAACGTGTCTTCAGGATTTCTATGCCATCCCCAGCTGCCTATATATTGTAAGAATTTCACAGCTGTATCTGTCACAGATCTTTCTATTTCCTTTCTTGAAATCAAAAGTCCTTAAAGACAAACTTCCCCATACCAGAAAGCGCTTTTCTGAATCTGCACTAAATGTCACTTGGTGCACAACCAAGTTCTCCTAACGTCATGGGGTATTGCCATGCCTTAAGTTACCACCTGTAAGTAAAGCTGTCTTGATGGACACCGGGCATTAGCTTTCTCAATTACAGAGCATCTTTTAACCTCAGATAGATAAAAAAGGATTAGTGTATTTTATCCAGCAACAGACCAAAAGCAGTTACTGCAGTAGCTGGGAAATAATTTGTGAACCTGCCCAAAAATAGGTTGCTTGTGTGAGCAAGCACACTTAGTGTCTATAGGGCACACTCATTTACAGATTGAAAGAAATACTCTCTGACGTGTGCCATGGTCATCTTTTTGCACTACCACTTCTTTACCACCTGTGTGCACAACTCTGTGTGTGTATATATATATGTATATATATGCAGAAACGCAAATACTAGAGGCACCAAAAACTAATGACAGGAACTAACCTTAACTGCACCTTCTCCTTTGCCGCAGGGCTTTTTCTCTCTCTCTGTTCCAAGACTTTAAGACATCCATCTGTTGTTTGTGTTACTCTCCTTTCTTCTCCACCAATTTGAAATCACAGTAGGGCTCAAGGAGACTCGAAACAAAACCAGAAGGCGGGGGGCACACGCGAGGGAATGCCTGTTTAAGGCCTAGCGCCGGCATTTCCATGCCAGTCATCTTCCTCCGCTGTTGAAACGGCAGAGGTTAATCAGGCAATGCCTACACGGCTCGCCCTATTACCTGCTTCATGGCAAATGCTACCCGCTGTGTTCCCCACTAAGTTCTACTTTACAAAAAGCTCACTTACCACAAACACTAATTCTCAGCCAATACTCACCTCTTTGTGCCATAAACAAAAGCTGGTTTTCACTCCGTGCTCCTCCGTACTAGAGATGGTCGGCTGGCTGCAGACGCTATTTGTGTTTTTTCCCAAACAATATCCATTAGGATACTGAAACAAGATTCCTTCAAATCCTATCCCTCCTCTGAATCAAACCTGGCTCTTTCCTCTCTCATTTCTTTGGCAGGTACAGCAGCGTTTCTGACAGTGCACAGCATATGAAGCAGTAGATATTTACTTTACCAAGTCAAAAAAAAAAGAAAGGATTATGTCAACGCAATTACTTGGCTACTCCTGGATGCAGACTGATAGACTGGACAAACTGGCATCGTTACTATTTCTTAGTTATGAAAAGCATAGTAATAATCTGCGATTTTTTTATTTTTTATTTTTTTTGCATAAAGAGCCAAACCTGAATATTGTATTCTGCCTACTGGTGCCGCACCTATCCTACTCCAGATGTCTGCAGAGGGTTTGCATTCATCCAGTATATTAGGATGCAGTTTTGCCCGGGACAAACCCTCAGTCAAAAAGTCACTTAAATACATGTTCCTTTAAAGCAGGCCAACGGTTCCACCAATGTGGGGAGTATCGCGAATGAAAATGAGGCACCTGACGACGACTATGCTGAACTGCAGCCCCCAGTTCCTCTGAGGAAAGAATTGCTCAGAAAGAGACTTCTGAAATGGGTGCCTTCCCTGGGGTTCAGGTGGAAAATGAATATTTCTAAGAGTGACGTCTAAAGCCTTGCCTCAGACACCGTCTCAGCTGGCTGAAATGCTGTAAGCACCTCTATTTTCTCCAGTAAAGCAGCCGTGACACCTACAATGCTGTTTCTGCTTCTACCTAGGAGAACTCCAGATCTGTATACCAAAGACTCAACCCAGAAAATGACTAACGTGCTAACAGCATCAACTTTAAAAAAAATCATCCACAGATGACTTTATTCAAGTCCATTGCTGGAGGGAAAGGCAGCAAATGGCATTTTATAAGGGAAACTCAATGGTGTGGTGAGGGCACTCCCCTAGGCTACCTGTCTATCTGCAGCCAACTGAAGGAATCCAAATCTGCATCTGGCTGACATTTAGACCTTCCCTGCAAGAATGACTTTTTGGGGTTTGATCTCAGAACATTTGGTATTCAGAAGTGAATGAATAAATTGCAAAACCAGACATGACTTGCAAACAAGAACTTGTGTTCAGGATTTCTCTCCCAAGGTCAGTACCCAGATTTAACCTGTAGTCTTACATAAAAGGTGGTTTTTCTCCCGTCAAAGCAGCATTTGAAAAATAAACTATATACCAGCTGCCAGTTTCCAAAACCCCAGGAGTGGGTTTTGGCTGTAAAGGGCAATCTGATACAGCTTCCTGGGTCCTAGCGAAGTGAAGGATGTATTAAATTGTGCCTTGCTGAGAAGAATTTTCACTTGGATATTTTTGCCAGCTTCCCATCAAGCTTTTGCTTGATGTGAGTCCTAGTTGGAGATGGTTTAATTCTGCCGGTTGCTGCAGCATTAATAAGTATCACAACACACAGGTGGTGGGTTCAAACTCTTGGAATCAAAGAGTTCTTGTCACAGGAGAGTTCTTAGTTTTGGGGTCCCCCCAAGTGTTGCCAAAACTCAGCATTGTAGTATTACAACATAATAGCGAAGCCTTAAGCTCATGGAGTCATCTTTCATTTAAGAACAAAACACAAATGAAACAAAGAAAAAAAAAATCCATTATCCACCTCTCAAATTTAGGAGTGCCTGAATGAAGGAGCTCAGGTTACCTGTGCTGTCAACATGGAGATGTAAGGATTGCTGGAAAGCAATTCAGTTGACAATCGAGATGAATTCCCTACCAAGTAATGCCTTTCTGTCCATCACAGACTGAAGTCTGACACGATGAAGCTAGGTCTCCATGCCAATCAATAACACGGCACAGGAGCAAACGGCTATAACTCAAAATCAAAGAACAACAAACTTTACTGTCGCACAAATCCTTGAGTAAATGAAAATATTTGAATGAGTTCTCAGCGTAACTTCCAATCACTGGGCTTTCACCATTTAGTCTGTTCAATTTAGCTAGCTTTAATGAAGTTGCACATATCCATTTGTAGCCATGGTCTTTCACTTAAAATAATCCCCACAAAGCGTGGAGTTTTTCTACTACAGCTCTCAGAAAGACAAAAATAACCATGCAGCTATGGACAAGACACCTATGCTGCGAACCAGAGTTGCAAAAAAACCAGCACGACAAGATAGCTAGCCATATAGCTTCTAGATATCTAGGTACCTAAAATTACATGAACCCCTGCAATTTTGAACTTTATCTCTGTTCAGCGAGTCAATCAATAATGAACTGTTGGGGCTGAACAAAAAGTAACCTTTCACTTCACATCATGAGGGACAGTGTAACACCACAGCTCTACCACGGTCATCAAAACAGGCACTTCCAAGGACAAGGGCTCCCACAAAAGTCTCCCAGCTTCTACTCACTCCTGAACCTTCAAGCCTCTTTAGATTTGTGTTTTATCCTGAAATATAGGAAAGGAGGGGCTCGTTCTAGTTACAGCTCCCAGAAGTGATGTAGCTAGCAGTCAGCTTCTTGAATTGTAGCCAGCAGCAAAGGAGGCGGCAGTGGATTCCCCTGGAGATGGGCACAACGGGACGCGTTTGTCACAAGTGCAGCCGTAGGCTCAACTCGCCACAGCTTCTCCTTGGTGCCAAGCAGAAAACACAACCGCAAGACAAACTCAAAGAGACTGCCAGGCGAGGAACAGCCAGTCTAAGCAAGCACTGTAAAAAAAAACAACCTGACACTACTTATTATGGCTGGGCTTTGGAAGTACAGACCAAGTA